GAATAATTGATTGATTGATTGAGTGAGTGAATGAGTGAGTGAGAGAAAGAATTAGAGGATGCGAATGAATTTTAAATGAATGAAAAAGAGAGAAAGATAGATAATGAAAGAAAGAGAGAGAGAGAGTGGATAAAAAAAGATGTGAAGAGGGATATAAATAGATGCATATAAAAGGAACCTAACAAACAAATACACAGAAACAAGTGAAAACACGAGATGTTTAACTCATAATTCAAAAAAAGTTTATATTCGAGGCAATATTTGTTACAATACAATTAGAAAATAAGTTGTACAACATTTAAGACTTCGAAAATATAAGACACGAAAGAAGAGAGAGTGGTCATACATAATTAATTACTGGAAGTATATAACGTACTGTAATAGTTTATTATTATTATTATTATACGTAAAGAAGTATGCGATAGTGTACGTAAAAGTTCGCTCTCGTAATACGGGGGAGATTGAAACTGAATTATCTTGCGCGCGTGTGTGTATGTGTGTGTTTGTTTGTTTGTGTGTGTGTGTGTGTTTATGCGTGAAAAGTGTGTTGTGCGTGCGCGTAAGTGTGTTTACACGAACGATTTACGTCGTTCGAAGCTCGAACTCGAAATAATAAATTCATATATATATTACAACGCGCGTATTTTTGTTCGTTTAAAACATTGTTTACAGTTCAGGGAGGCGTTTTCAATGGAAGAAAGAGTAAGAAGCTGTTGTTGCCTATCCGCTCTGACCAATGAAACCCAACTGCAAACAATTTTGTAAACGACAATATACGTAAATATTCCAAAATATATTTTTAAATGCAGGACTGATGAAACAATATAAATAAAAAAAAGGGACGATATTTTCGTGATTTCGTAAGGAAGAACGAGAAAATAAAACACATGGTATTTGATTTTGTTCGAATAATTTAAGAAAACGATCGAGCCAACCTGCCAGCGATGTTCAATGTTCGTGTACACACACACAGAGAAAAATTCATAAATAACAATTATATTCTATCGATTTAGTGAAAGGATGGTACTAAGAAATAAAAAATATAATAAAATATAATAAAATAAAATAAAATAAAAATGAAATATAAAAAGAAGAGAGCACCGAGAAGAACCGTTCCGCGATATCTGCTTTGTACGTTCGTTATTTAAATAAAAAAATTTTCCTGTTCGTCGATTGTATTTGAAAAAAAAAAAAAAAAAGAAAAAAAAACAAAAAATAGTAGAAACCAAAAAAGAAGAAAACACCGTTCGATGAAATATCATACGAGAGATGGATAACAGGAAAAAGAAAAAATGGGGAAAAATAATTTCTAGCTAAATAGAAAAAAACACCACACACAGCTGTAATAATTGTTTGTCTCGAAAAAAAACTGTTCGTGAAAACAACAATGAAAAGAAAACTATAAGTAATATCGCCGCTTTTACATCACATTCTCATATTTTTACTATTATTAATGTTTATAAACCAGCAAGAGATATGACGTATGTAATTGTTGGTAGTGGGGGATTATTAGGTTCGTTTTTGCTCGTGCGCACGTTTTAATGGCGAGTAATAATATAATAATTAAATATAAAATTGAATAAATGACGCGACGACAAAAAGTGAATGACACACACACTGACAAAATAACCAAAAGACAAGGATTATATTATTTAATTAATATTCAAGAACACTTTACTACGAATACGATTGGTCTCAAGTGTACTGCTAATCGTATAAAAAGAAATAATGATAAAATAAATGAATTGTGAAATTCCGAAATCGACGCGTTCGCATATTTTAATCTAACAGAAGAGAAATTCCGTTTTTAGAGAAAAAAAATAAGGATAGTGAGCGAAAGAGAGTGAGAGTGCGAGAGAGAGAGAGAAAGAATGATCACATGTGTGTATGCTGTGAGAAAGAAAGAAAGAAAGAATGTGAGTGAAAATGTTAGAACGAGCAGGACCTAAGAGAAGTAAAATCACAATAGGAAATAGACTTTTAACTGATTAGGATGTGTAACCATATCACAATGTTCTTTTTTTTGTAGATGTACATATATATATACATGCATATATATACATATATATATATATATATATACATGATATATATATATATAACGCGAAATTAAATGCCATTAAAATCGAGATGCGTTCTACGTCGTCCCACTTTGAATTATATAATAATAATAATAATAATAATAATAATAATACTAGTAATAAAAATAATAATGATAGAAAATAAAATAAAATAAAAAAGCATCAGAAATAATTAGAAATGTTAGATAAACGCTAATATAGATGACATTTTATTGCAATTTTTATTCCTGGAACGAAGAAAACGGACGATGGCGCGCGACGCGATCAATTTTGAAAAATCTGCCGATAGTTAATTCTTCGAAAACACATTTTCACGGAGTCACCTAAACAGAGTCGACCTAAAGTAATCAATATATAATAATTGATATAAATATATATATATATAGTTAAAATAAATATAAAATATAAAATAAAAGGAAATGTGTAATAAAAGAAAATAACAAATTTAGCGAGCATAAAAATTCTCGTTTAGTGGATCGGTAGTCTTTTTACGCCGTGTTTAGCCTATGTGTGCTTTGTATTTTTCATGGGTTCGAATAAATACAGTGAATGTTATTTAAAATCATACACAAATAAATACAAATGTATTTATTTCTAAATTGTCTTTATTCTAAACACACTGTACCAATAATATTCAAGGAAAAATTTAATTACCATAACGGTGTACGATTTTAAAAGGCACTCACTGCATATATATAATATATATAGAAAGAAAAAAAAACAACAACAACAACAACAAGTAACATATCCTATCTGCGGCGTGGCCCATCTTTCAAAAACCCCACTTTCCATACCTTCGAGTTCCCTTGCTATATAAATAAATAAATAAATATATCAAATAATAATTATTATTACAAACGTGCGTTAATACCCGTGTACATTTAATAATAATCATAATAATAATATAATAATAAAATTAATAATAATAATAATGCAATGGTGGTGGCTCTCGCGTTTTGAGGAATTAACTTGCGGATATTTTACATCTCTTAATTTATCGCTTTGATGTGGTAAAAATATTATTATTATTATCGAGCACGCATCATTACAAAACCGTCGCTTATTTTCTTAAACTTTACCGCGCATTTTAAAGTCTGGTA